TTTTTTTTTTTTTTTTTTTTTTTTTTGCAAAATCGCCTGAACAGGCAATAAATATATGTACCTTTTCGCCAAATTGGACTCATTCGGCGCATTTTCCTGCACATGTGTTCCTTCTTTTTTACCTGACCCGGTCATACACTAAAATAGAAGCATATTTTCATCACTTCAGTTATGTCTTCCACACTCCGTCCTCACAACTTCTTCACGTTACCTTTGTCGCATAAATCCACTAAGGGATTGTTGTACTTCTTGTCCAATTGGTTTTGAAAGCTCATCACACTGCTGTTGAGAGCGTTCGGGTCGCAGTCGTTTTTCCTATTCTCTCGTGAGGAAAAGTTAAATTGGCTGTTTAGCACTTCCAGATATTTTAAGTTCATTTCATTGACGGCGTCTTTGTTAGCTGGGTTGTTAAAAAGACTAATCGTCTCATTGTTGAGCAATTTTTTATAACTGCTGTTGAGAAGGCCATTTAACTCGTTGGAAATGCTTCTATTGGAAGTGGCGCTGTTGCCAGTGCCGCTATTCGCAGTGCCGCTATTCGCTCCTACTTTCTGCCCTGCAAGGCTGCTCACCCCCCCGTTCTTCCTGTTCTTCTTCATGTGGATCAGGGCGAGCAAGTTCGAGTCACACACACCGCTGCCACTACCATCGTTGTAGGGGTTCATTTTGTGGGGGAACTGTTCCTGGTGCTCCATGTGTGCATTACCACCGCTTCCTCCTCCGCCATGGTCATAGGGGCTTTTCTCGCCATTCATTTTCACACTCTGCGCGTTACCACTAAGGGTTAGCAGCTTGTTTACGTTTTTGTAATCATCGATGTCTATACGATTCAAATTTCTGTCCCTGGGCAGTGTGGTGTGGTTCTTCATGTCATTCAATTTCGCGTTGTTCGAGCTGGTGGCGCTGTTTCGCGCGCCCGCCTGGTTTCCGCTGGCGTTTCGGTTGGGGGGTACACCATGGCCCAGGCTGTAGTTCGCGTTCCCGCCCATTTGGCTGTTCCTGCTTCCGCTTACATTACCCCGAGGGGAGTTATTCATGAAGGTTGCGTTCTCCAGGCCGTCACTCAACCCACCCATATACCTCTTCTGCGCTGAGTTGTTCTTTATCGAGCTGATCCCGAGGTCCACGTTGTTACCAGTCCCCATGCTGACATTCATGGAGGGTTTCTTCCTCGACTGCTTAGGCGTCACCGCGCTATTGTCTTGATCGTTCAGGTGGCTAATCAAGAGGGGGCCGCTCCCGCCGCTTATCCCCCCATTTGCAATGTGGCTGCTGGCATTCAACATGCTGCTGTTCAGCGCGCTGTTGCTTCCTCGGTTCCCGGTCACCGTGTGGTAAAACATGGCATTTGCGACGTTACCGCTCCTGTTGCCGCTATTGCTGCCGCTGACATCCCCCGCGCTGTCGATAAAATCCTGGTGCACCGGCGCGGCGCCACCAACAGCACCAACATCGCTAACACCTCCAATACCACTTCCATCGCTTGGATCGGCGCCCCCGCCCAGGCTCACCTTCGCAGCGCCGCTCGTCATCAGATCCCTCGAAGACAGGCCCAGCGGGCTGGACTCGTCTTTCGAAAAGGCATAGTCCCAGTAGCTCTTAAAGTCCTCGCACAGGATGTCTTGTTTGATGCCACTCACCTCATTCATGCCGCTAATCTCGCTAATCCCGCTAATCCCGCTTAGGCTGCCCACCCGGTTGAGGCCCGACAACAGGCAGTCCAGCCGCTCATAACACCTCAGGATTTTGTTGTACATCTCTGACGGAATGTACTTACAGACGTTTTGGTTCAGAATCATCTCCTCCAGAAGGAGGGACGTATCCAGGATGTCCACTTTGTACTGATCCAAAACGTTTTTTATCTCGTTCAATTTGGTGTGCTCCTCCGTCATCGTGTGTTTGTCCGTCATCGTGTGCTTGTCCGTTCTTGTGTGCTCTTCTCTTATGCGCTCCTCTGTTCTTATGAGCTCCCCCTCGCTCGTGGGGAGGCCGGCAAAGTCCTGTTCCGCTTCATCCTTCAGCAGATTGTGATTAAAAAAGGGAATCATATTTTCTCCTCGCACGATGCTATCATAGCAGCTCTCGTTTCGATTACTACTATCAAGATACATACTTAGACTATCATTGAAACTTTTCGGGATGCTTCCCATGAAGTTATTCAGTTCGATCTCGTTAACGTTCAGTATGTCTGAACCGATTATCGTCTCGATGGCAGTTTTTTGTGACTGTTTGGAGTTCCCTTGGTCTGTGATATTGGCCAAGGTACCCATTCCTGCACCGTTCATGGAAAAGTTTACACCCCCTAGTCCTGCTCCTATGACATTTGCGCCGTTTCCCCCTTTGGCCACTGCCTCGCCATCCTTCCCACTGCTCATTCCATCTATACCCATTTGGTTCTGGAAGGATACGTCTCCCTTTGCACTTGGCACCACACCGTTCAGTATGGAGCTGTTAAACGCGAACAGAGAATGCTCAGGGGGCAGGCTTGATCCGCTATTGTTATTACTACTAACGTACATTTCCTTATCATTCGCGGGGATGCTCATCTGTGCTCCTGCCACCCCTCCATTCGTCATTGCCCCGCTGGCAACGTTGACCTGACTTGTCGAAGTCCCACTACCGCTTTGTATCAGTTGCTCCATCAGATCAGTGCTTGTGCTTTTGATTCTCCTATTATGCATATCCAGTTGGGACTGAGTGGCTGCATTATTTCCGCTGCTTCCATCATTCTGGTTGTTCTCTATTCTTCCCCCTTCGAGATGTAGTTCTTGCAGATGGGTGGACACACCAGCATGAGTGTTAAGAAGATCCACGTTATCCCTAACGCTTTGGCTAGTACCAACACCGCTAAGAATGTTGTTACGTCCCTTTTCCTGGCCGTTGTCCTCCCCTCTATCAGCACCGTTCTGTGCACTCCTCTGGGCCCCCTTCTCGGTACCCTTCTGTGCACCTTTCTGTGCACCCTTCTTCTTTCTATTAAAGGCATTCATCAACATGCTGTATAGACTTCCTTTGTTGTCGTTTCCTCCTTGTGCGGTTCCCATCGCTGGGTCATCCTTCTCTGAGGCACCTGGAGGGGTGACCATCATCATCCCCAAGTCATTCGCAACATTGTTTGCGTCCATGCCAGATGCATACATACCTGCCTCATACATACCAGCCGCTGTGTTACCTTTTGCCTCCCCTTTGGGGGTGTCTTCCTCACTGGTCCTTCCACCCATGCTGCTTTTCACTCCATTGTTCGCTCCTCCATGGTTGTCACTAAGATGGAGATGTCTGTTACCCCCCATCTGTTCCGTCACTCTCCCTTTCCGTACGTTTGGAGGTCCCTCACTTTTTTGACCCTCCACTGTGTAGTTCATTGCGGTTTCTCCTCCGTTCATACTTAGCATCCCGAGTGCCCCATTCTTAATGCTACCCTCCAGCTGGCACAGCTTACTGACGTTCTCATTGGAGAAGGACTTGACCGATTTTACATCATAGTAATCATATGCATTGGTGTCGAGGTCGCCTGCAGCGGTTGTCACGTTCCTATTAAGGCACTCGTTATCGCTTCTCTTCCCCCCGGGGGATGATAACTTGTCCCTTCTGCTTGTACGGTTTGGCGCAGCAGCGGAGAGGCTCTCTATAGAAGGGGTACTACCCTTGTCATGTCCTGAGAAGAGGCCATCCTTTGACTTGTCTGCGTTCCTATTGGGGGTGGCGCCGTCCGCGGGGCTCCCTCCTGCAGCTGCGCCGTTCTTCTTCTTCTTCTTTTTGCTCATCCCTCCCGCAGCGATTGTCACTCCTGACGCTGTTGCCACCTCCTCCCCGTCTTTCAAATACCAGGCGTATTTCTCCCTTATGAACGTCTTGAAAAATGCTTTCTCGAGGAGGAAGTTGCCGCCCTTATCCTCCACGGGCCTCCCACTTGAGAGCAACTCGACGACGTAACTGTACTCGTCGTGAATGTACTTATTAATCTGATTCACCGTGACGCAGAGGGGTAGGATAATATTCATATCCTCCCCGTAAAGGTACTCAAAGAAGGAATATATGTTTGGAGACGACGTGAGATAGAGTACCTCCGTAAAAATCGTTTTTCTGCTTTTCTTCACATCACCCTTGTTGATTTCCTTGGAATCGTTCTTAATGATGATTTCTCTGTTTCCAATTTTGTATATGTACGTTGACCACAAAATGGAGAACTGAATCATCTGCAAAGTCTCCTCTGATATGTCATAGTATTCGTTGGCTAGCTTGATCTGTGCTTCGGTTAGAAAGGACGAATTGAGAAAGGTCTTCTTTTTCTCTCTGAAATCCTTTGGCACGCTTAAAAATTCGATTATTCCCAATTCGGATAACTTGTCCCAGATATTCAGTTTCAGATTTACCATTTTCTGCCGGATGATTTCGCTTTTTTGGCAGACCAGCTTCAGTTCGTTCGCAACGTAGCTGCACATGAGGCAGATGAAGGCATCGTTTGGTGTCCCCTCTATGCAGCTTCCATCGCTTCCTCCGCTTGCTGAAGTGCTCCCCCCCTTGGTTCTCTCCGTGTTAGCCCTCAACAAGTTATTATTGTAGAGGTATAGCAGTCCGGGGAAACTAAAGGGCAGGAAGGAGTTGTCTTTCCACATCTCCTTCATGTCGAGAACAGCGCTGCAATCTAGGATGATGTAGAGGGGGAGGCTACTCACAGTGTCGCTCATCAGGTTCATGCGGTCATTCCGCTGGGGGCACAATTCCGAGGTGAGCGCGTCGTCCTCGGCACCCCTGTCCATCCGAAAGGGGTGACCCATTGCACCCAGTTGACTCTTCCCCGCGGTGAATAGGTCATCATTGTGATGAAGATGGTGATGGTCGCCCTCATCGTCATCGCAATCTCCATTGCCACTGTCACCGTTCTCGTCGTTCTCCTTCTCCCCCTGGCATCCCCCCTCGAGTGGACTCACAGACATGTTTTCCTTCTCCTTTTCCTTCTCCTTTTTCTTTTTTTTTTTCTTTTTCTTCTTTTTTCCTTTTTTCTTCTTCTTGGTAGGGTCGGTCACATCTAGGGAGTCCTCTTCCTCCTCCTCATTCTCCTCCACCTCTTCTTCTTCCTCGTCGTAGTCCTCCTGATCCCGCCCGTTCGTCTGCGCCCCGGCCACGGCTCCCTTTTTGGTTGCATAAAGGGAGGCCGCGTCGGAGAGCTGGCCGTTTTTCTCCTTCCCCTTGAGGCCTTTTTTAGACTCCGTCTTTAAGGAGTTTCCGCGATTGTAGTGGTAATCATCATCGTCGTCATCGTCGTCATCGTCATCATCATCGTCATCATCATCGTCATCATCATCATCGTCATCATCATCGTCATCATCATCATCGTCATCATCATCATCGTCATCATCATCATCGTCATCATCATCGTCGTCGTCGTCTTCCTCCTCATCGTCCTCCTCTTCCTCTTCTTCTTCCTCCTCTTCCTCTTCTTCCTCCTCCTCATCAGCACTCATATCATGAAGGAGGCTGCCTTTCATGCGGCGCTTCCCCGAGGCGGTCACTCTCTTCCCAACAGAGGTCGTCTTGTCATTCCTATCTTTGGGCTTCCCCGCGCCCCCCGTCGTGCCCGCTACGGTCTCCACCCAGTTGAGAAGGCCACCCTTCACGACACTTTTGGCGGAATTTTTCGAGACCCCCTTCGATGGACCCTTCGAGGTACCTCTAGCAACACCTTTCGCGGCACGACTGCGCGTGTCCCCGTTTAGATCCCCCTTGGAGGCCAGTGCCGCTTCTTCGTCCTCCTCCTGCGCACCGCCTCTACGCTCCAAGTGGACGCTATTGTGCAGTCTACCCACATCGTTCACCTCAGAGGGGGTAGAGAACTCCTTCCTCTTCTCCTCCTTCATCACTTTCCCATTGGCATACATAGACTGAGTAATGTTATCCTTCTGATGGATAAACATATACACATGCATGATTGGTGTGTTCCTCACAGTGGCATTAAGACACTTATACGGACAACAACGTTTGTCGCTTTTTAAAGCAGCACAGATAATTAGGTTGCTCTTGTACCCTCTCTTCTTCTTAGCAAAGTCTTCAACTTCTCTGAGAATCTCCTTCGGATTCTGAATACAGTTATACTCTAACCTTATCCACACAGGGATTTGCAGAGGTTTGTAGGAAGTCTGATATTTTTCGTACCTAGGATAGACATAATTGTTTTCCCTCTTGGCTTGTACAAAACTGAGTAACAACTCTCTGCAAGTGCTATCTTGGATGAAGTTATGTGACAGGTGCAATTCTTCCATCGGAATTTTCTGAACGTAAATCAGCTGCTTTATCAGAGACGCTCCATCGTCCCTTATGTTATTTTTGTACAATTTCAGAATGTTCACTCCTATGTTGTCACTACAATTGAGTATAAACTTAAGGAGCGTCTTTAATCCCGTGCATGTGATGTAGTTTTCGCTGAGGTCTATGTTGAGATAGTAATAAGTGCCGTAGACCACTTTGATATATTTTTTCAGAATCTTCACCAACTCCACTATGTGACTGTCGTGCAGGGCTTTGTTGTTCAGTGAGATGTCCACGTAACGAAGTAGCTTCTTCCCTTTGCTGCCTTTGAAGGTCAGCTTTTTGCTCTCACGGATGTACGACTCCATGGTGCGAC